GCCGCCCAGCCTCCCTCCCTCCCTCCTGGACCATCCGAGGAGCTTTTCCTGGCCCACTCCTCTCTCCTCCCCCCATAATCAGCTGGCCACACAGCCTGCCAGCTGGCTGGCTGCCCAACTGGATGGCAGGCATCGCCATGGCAACCCGCTGCAGCCCCTTCCCTGGGCAGGAGCGAGCCGCAGCGCTGGGCCTGGAGAACGGAGCAGAATTACTGGATAATCCTGTCACGGGGCCTCACCAGCGCTCCCCGCCCGCACGGCCAGGGGAAGCTGCGAGAGGGTGATGGGCCCGTCGTGTGCCTGCCATGTCCCCCACCCCCACATGGAACAGCCCTGGCGGCTCGGCTTTGGCACCATCCGACGGGCTTTGGGGGTGTGGGGAGCCAACTCCCTCTCCTGGGTGCCTCGCCAGCTGCCCTAGGGACCCCCGCCTTAGAGCCGCTGGCAGGAAGGTTTAGGGGTAACAGGGAAGTGCGAGCTGGGTTTCCTTAGCACTTGCAGGCCCTGGAGGCTGCTGTTCATCCTCCAAACAGGCCCCCCTAGGCACTGTCAGGGCAAACCCCCCCCCGGCCCGCCCCAACTTAGCAGGGCCCGGAGGGACCCAGCTAGTGGGGGAGAGGGATTTCAGGCTCCAAGAGCCAGTCAGGCCTTAGCCTCCGTGTCGAGGCTGCCAGCGAGGGGGCCAATTACTGCCAATTGGGCTAGTGGTTTCTTGGAGGTGGACACCTGTCATGGAGGTGAAAGGCAGCCCATTCCCTGCTCCCAGCCTGAGCCAGCCCATCCGCCTGATCTGGGTCAGAGCAGAGCTCTAGAGGGGAAAGGTCCTGCATCCCATTCCCCAGTGCCCTGAACTAGCCAGGGCCCAGCAGACATATTACACATTGAAATAATTCTCAGTGGTGCTTATAAACCCGCAGGGTGTCAGGGCTCTGGCAGGGCTTGGGGCAGCGAGAGCATGGCTTGATAAGGAGACATTGGGCACCAAGGCTGGGTAATCTGCAAAGAGAGAGGCTGCTCCCAGGCCAGCTCAGCTGGTGTTAGTCTGCCCAACTGTCCCTGAGCTGGAATCTCCATCTCCATTTCTTGCTGCTTGATGACAACTTGCCCCCCTTGCCTGGCCTCCAGATCCAAGCTTCTTTCCTGCAGCTCTGACCAGAGGTGCACCCCACTGAGGAGCTTTCTGCTTGGAGGTCTTCTGTTATTCCCCTCCTCCTACCCCACTCTGGGGCTGGTTCTCGTTCCTGTGGGCAGCAGCTCCGCTCCAGGTTCCCAGCTACCTGCTCTGCTAGCAAGTGACTGCAAGACTGAAAAGCAGCAGAATAAAGGGCTAACAATGACAGAAGGCTGGTCCCCGTGGGTGAGCAGCGCCATGCTGGGACTGGTCTCCAAAGAGAACCAGGGGCTGGGGAAGGGTGAGGCAACAGGACGGGGAGAGTAGAGGTGCGGGCAGCTGCTCTTCTGCCCACAGCCTCCGTATTCCCAGCTGGAGCAGTTGTTGGAGGCTAGCGATTTCCAAGCTCCGGCTGCATGCACGCAACTGCCGTGAAACATGCAGCATGAGAGCCAGACACCGGGGGTCATGTGTCTTCTACAATCCCGCAGCCAGGGAATCTGCTGCCAGCTCCTTCCAGTACCACTGAATCTCAACTTCTGTCACAAGATGCAAGATTCTAATGGGTTTGCAAAGAAAACTTTCAGAAAGTGCCCTGTGTGTGATTCACTGGAGCGCTGCCTGCCTGATAACATCCACCTCAGAGGCGGGAGCTGCCCCATTCATCTCAACGGGATGTTAACTCTGACCTCTTATGCTATGTCTATATCTTGCCAATTCTTTCTGCCTAACATCTACTGCTTTTTCTACCCACCCATGCAGCTAAAACTCTTGTCCAGGCTCTTACAATCTTGTGTCTCGATTTCTGCAAAAGCTTTCTCTCAGGCCGTGACAAATGCAGTTTTGTCCTGCTTATATCCAATCAGAATGATGCTGCAGAGATCATTTTCCTAGCTTGTTGCACTGACAATCTCCCCCTCTCTTTGCATCTCTCCCCTGGCTCTGTCACATCAAACAGAAGCTACTTGTTTTCGTTCTTAAAGCCCTTCATGGTCTGTCACCACTTTACCTGTCATCTCTCATTTGCTATTGAGATGTCAGCTCCTGCCTCCCTCGCCCATTGGTTATATTTTCAAGCAAGCGCCTTTGTGCTTTTTCCCGTTCTCTCTCCATACACATCTGCAAAGCGAACTCATTATCCTCCTTAACGCGCTCCTTTGCCATGAGGCCAACAAAGAAACATAAGGAGGGTTCGGCTGCTGCTGTGTGCTGAGGCCACGGCCTGCCGTGCTGACCAGCACAGTCTCTGGTTCCTTCATACTGCCCCATTGCTCTGTCTGTGTCCAGCTGTTGTCTCTTCTCTTACATGTTCAGTGCTAGCTCTCTGGGCAGGGACGGCCTTTCTGGGCTGGGCTGCCGCTGTGGGGCCCTGGGCCGCGACGGGGGTTCCTTGGTGCTCTGGCGTTACAAATACTGAGCGATTGCTACGTCACCGCTGTCGCGTTAGCAGGAACCTCCAGCTCCTGGGCCTCTCCATCGCTGTGGGCTGCCCGGGCGGTTCTTGAGGCAGGAACAGAAGGGCAGCTGGCTGGCGGGGTGCGGGAGCCGGAGTTCCCTCTGTCACTGGGGAAGGGAAAGGGGAAATGTGTTGCCAGAACCCCTCCCGCAATGTCCCCTCTGACCCTCCGCAGCTGCCCCCCCTCCAGCTGTCCCACTGGCAGCCCCTTGCAGTGATGTGCTGCTAATGGGAACATGGGGGCAGGGGTGCCCAAGGAAACCCACCCTAAAGCTGAGTTTGGCTTTGGCTCAGCACACGAGTCAGGCAGCTTTAACGCACCAAAGGCCTCCGGCTTGGAAGGTGCAGAGACGTGAGCCAGCAGCGTTCCACCACCGGGGAGCCCGGGGCCCTGCTCTCAACAGGCAGGACAGCACGTAATGGCCCTTCAAGTTACAGGGTGAGCATGAGGGCCTGAAGGCCCCGTGTTCACCCAGGGCAGGAGTGGGGCTGGTGGAAGGGGAGGGGCCAGCAGAGCTGGGCTCACAGCCCCACGTAGCCTCAGGACGGGGCAGCACAGGCAAGGCAGGGTCCCGCGCGTTGCTGCTGGCTGGGGAATGTTGCTCTGGGCTGTGGGAAGGTGCCTGGCCTCCGGCCTGTTTGTGTTTGCTCAGGTGACCCTTTGGTGGCCCCCGCCTGGTGCCCTGTGGCAGACAGAGCTCACATAGCACCGGGGCGGCTGCCTGGAGCATACCCAGGGCTCCAGGGTCAGCTGGGCCCCTGGAGCGGAGAGGGAGAGTCGCTGGCTCTCGGCTGGGTGTGTTCAGCAGGGGATAGCAACATCTCCGGGAGCCCTAGGCAGAGGCAAACCCAGCCGCTGGATGCAGCTCACCGGCCGAGAGTCCTCATGTCTGTGAGAAGCTTTTCTGCTGAGGGATCCCACAGTGCTGCCGCGCTCAGAGAGGGCCCAGCCAAACTGACATGCAGCCGGCTGTGGGGTGGAGCGGAGCAGCTGCTCAACAGAACTGTGCTGCCTGGCCCCTCTGCACCTGTTCGGACACTGCTAGGACCAGAGCGTGACTGCTCCTCCCAGCCCGGGCAGCCGTCTCTCTCCCTGCACGCTCAGCCTTTCCACCCAGCCAGCCTCTCCATGTTCCTCAGCCCAGCCTGTGCCCCCTTCCCTGCCCACGCAGCCCCCAGGCTCCCCATACCTCCGCATCTATGTCCTCTTGCTCTCCCAGGGTTCTGCTCATGCCCCAGCCCCATATTCCCCCACTGCCTCCCACTGTATCACAGCCCTGCCATTCCAGCTCTGCGCTCCGTCTTCCCTGCTCTCTTCAGAGCCTACTCCCAGCGCCCCGCAGCTTCAGGGCTTCTCATGCTGCCCCCAGGGCCTGGGCCCAGCTGCCAGACCCCTCTGTCCCCTCCTTCCACAACCCCCGATGCTCTTCCCCTCCCTGTCTTTGTCTCTGGTCCTCTTCAGGCGGGGGAGGAAACAAGTGTGTCCTAAAGCCTGTTTGCGTGGTATGACATGCCCTAGCCCTGGGTTTCATTCCGGTAGGGCAGGGGCTGGGCTTTGTCCCTCTGGAGCTAAGCGTCTCCAAGAATGGGATCCATCCCCAGCCAGGGAGTTACAGGGCCTCCAGGCCCAACCTGGCACACAATTCCTGGCCAGACCCAGGCCCAGCCATGGGGCCCCCAGTCCTGCTGTAGGACGGGGAGTCTCCAGGCGCATCTAGCTCCCTGGCAGGGTTTTTTCTGGAGATTCAGCCAAAATTCCTTCCCCTTTCTCTGTTCCACACTTTGCATTCCCCTGATCGTTCCTCTCCCCCTGAGGGGCTGAGCTCATGGCTCCCCCTGGCACCCCTCAGCCCAGCTGCTTTGCACATGGAGTTGTTCCCTCCAGGACTCGCCCATCTCTCTGCAGACCTCAGCCCCTGCTGGGTCCCAAGCATTGGGCTGGGCTTCTCCAAATGCCCTGCACTTTGTTGCTCTCTCTCTGGGAAGACGGTGCTCAGAGCTAAGGGCCGGATCCTGGGGCAGCGGGGGTCACCTCAGGGGCTGACAGATGGGGACCTGCCCTCCTTGATCTGGGGCGAGCGGGTGGTCTTTGGGATTGATGGGCTTGGAGCAGCAGGCTGGGGCCCAGGATGGTCTCAATCTCCCCAGGGCTGGCTATGGTGGACTGCCCCCTCCCTGCTTTGGGACGGGAGGCCTCTGTATGATACAAGGCCCAGAATAGACCCGGGTCCCCTTGCTGCTGTCTGCTCCTGCTCTCGCTGAGGGTTGGGCGGTTACCAAAGGAAGCCAGGGGAGTGTACTCTGGGGGGCCTGGGGACTGCACTTGCTCTGAACCCCAACTGATGGATTTATAGCCCCCACAAAGGCAGGGTCCCTGCCTCGGAGAACTTGCAGCCTGCCCGAGGGACCTAGACAGAGCAGTGAGACCCGGGGTGTGACGAAGTGGGACTGTTCTTAATGTTTCCTCTGAATAGTGTGGGGGTGCCTCAGTTTCCCCTAGGCAGTTCTTAAGTATCTAGGGGGTGGAGTAAGGGTGTATGATCATTGCAGAGCCCTAGAGGGCAGGTGTGGGCAGGGGTCTGGACACAGAGAATGGCCGACACCCTGTTTCCTGGCAACTGATGGCCTGGGCCCTTCCCCCTCTGCAAGGTGAGAGCTGAAGGGTTGGAGAACAAAGGAATCAGGTGACCACCTGGCCCGGGAAAGGAACAAAGCCCAGAGGAGGAGGGGCTGGAGGGAGTTTCAGTTTGGGGCTGGCTGGGACATGGAGTGAAGGGCAGACGTGGTTGTCTGGCTCACTGCCCCCCAAAATGGACCCAGCTGAGGGGTCCCGTTCTCTGCACCTGCAAGCTCTGTTTTAGACCATGTTCCTGTCGTCTAATAAACCTTCTGTTTTACTGGCTGGCTGAGAGTCACGTCTGACTGCGAAGTTGGGGTGCAGGACCCTCTGGCTTCCCCAGGAGCCCCGCCTGAGCGGACTCGCTGTGGGAAGGGCACGGAGGGGCAGAGGATGCTGAATGCTCCGAGGTCAGACCCAGGAAGGTGGAAGCTGTGTGAGCTGCGTGTCCTGAAGACAGGCTGCTCACAGAAAGGCGACTGCCCCAGAGTCCTGACTGGCTTCATGGGGAGCAGTTCCAGAGCATCGCCCAGGGACTCCGTGACAACTGGTGGCAGCGGTGGGATGTACTGCACCCCGTGGATGGCGCTTCCTGCAGTAAGTGACTGGGGAGCAGTAACACGAAGGGGGATTGCCGAGGACCAGGCCTGCTGAAGGCTCAGAAAGGAGCGGTTTCGGGGGGCGGTTAACCCCTGGGAGTGTGTGACCAGCGAGAAGGACTGTGCAGTAATGGGGTCCCCCTGGGGACTGCAGTGAGCAGTCTCAGGGGCGGAGGAATCTGCAGCTCGACCCTGGCAAAGAGGTGGTGACCTCGAGAAGGGCTGGCACACTAGGGGTTCTCCCTGGAAACCGTGGGGAGCTGAGAACACACGGGCCTGTGAGTCCACAACAACTTGGGAGGAGCGGAGTGATGGCCTGTCACCGTCTCCTTAAGAAGGACATTGTAACCCTGTGCAGAAAGAGAGGGTTGAGCGTTGGGAAGTTCACCAAAGCAGAGTTAATCGTGCAGCTGGAGGAGGATGACCGCTCTAAGGAACAGATTCCTGACCCCAACTGGGGCTATAGCAGGATCTGGGAGCAGCTGGAGTGGGAGCCAGGCATCGCCAAGACTCCTGTCCCCGACCAGACGGGGGTCTTCACGATCGGGTTCCCCATCGGGGGATCGAGACGGACGGGATTGGAGCGGAGTCTGAGAGAGCAAGAGGACCCTGGGAGACAGCGAGAGCCCGAGAAAGAGCTGCAGAAGCAGCAGCATGAACTGGCGGTGGTGGGGCGGAGAGGCCTAGGGGACCTCCCCGGGGTGAGTGGGGATAGACCCCGGGGGGCCAGTTCCACAGGGAACCTCGAGACTAAATTGCTGCCCCTGGTTAAGGAGGGGGGATGTGGATGCCACCCCACTGCCTTTGAGCAGGCTGGCGATTTGAACCAGGGGGACCCTGCGGAAAAGCCCCGGTGTCTAGCTCCCTTGCTGGGTCCCAAGGCCATAGACTCCGTCAGCCAGATGGGTGGGGATGTGGACAGGCTCCCACTCCTGACCCCAACCTGTATGTCGGTGTGGAGTTTCCTGGGGCCAGGCCCCTCGGACCTCCAGTGGGAGCAGAAGGTGATGGTCAATGGGGAGACATTCTTGGGGTGCCCAAAGGGCATGGGCTGCATAAACCTTCCCACATGCGGCCTGCGAGTGCTATCGACCACCCCTGACCTAAGGGAGGGCATGAAACTGGAAGGGCCTGGTGTAACTCCTACCAAGGAATGGGAGAGATGCTGGGGCATCCATGGGAACGTTGGTGGCTTCGAACTTCCCCAGGTCACCGGCTAAAGTGACCCCGCTCAGTTCGATCTTGAAGGGGGGAGAGATGTGACGAAGTGGGACTGTTCTTAATGTTTCCTCTGAATAGTGTGGGGGTGCCTCAGTTTCCCCTAGGCAGTTCTTAAGTATCTAGGGGGTGGAGTAAGGGTGTATGATCATTGCAGAGCCCTAGAGGGCAGGTGTGGGCAGGGGTCTGGACACAGAGAATGGCCGACACCCTGTTTCCTGGCAACTGATGGCCTGGGCCCTTCCCCCTCTGCAAGGTGAGAGCTGAAGGGTTGGAGAACAAAGGAATCAGGTGACCACCTGGCCCGGGAAAGGAACAAAGCCCAGAGGAGGAGGGGCTGGAGGGAGTTTCAGTTTGGGGCTGGCTGGGACATGGAGTGAAGTGCAGACGTGGTTGTCTGGCTCACTGCCCCCCAAAATGGACCCAGCTGAGGGGTCCCGTTCTCTGCACCTGCAAGCTCTGTTTTAGACCATGTTCCTGTCGTCTAATAAACCTTCTGTTTTACTGGCTGGCTGAGAGTCACGTCTGACTGCGAAGTTGGGGTGCAGGACCCTCTGGCTTCCCCAGGAGCCCCGCCTGAGCGGACTCGCTGTGGGAAGGGCACGGAGGGGCAGAGGATGCTGAATGCTCCGAGGTCAGACCCAGGAAGGTGGAAGCTGTGTGAGCTGCGTGTCCTGAAGACAGGCTGCTCACAGAAAGGCGACTGCCCCAGAGTCCTGACTGGCTTCATGGGGAGCAGTTCCAGAGCATCGCCCAGGGACTCCGTGACACGGGGGTCGGGGGTATTTCAAAGGGAGCTTGGTGTGTAGAGGGGTCCAAGTGAAAACACCCTCCCTGCAGGCTGGCAGGGCCAAGGGGTGTTGAAGGGTGGCGGGTGAGGAGGGGCCTGGTGTGTGGCTGTCAGGGAGGCCCCAGGGGCAGCCTGGGACAGGCCAGCGGGACACCTGTAAGAGAAGGGGGCAGGGAGTGGGGGTGGCAGCCAGGCTGAGGGAGTGGGCCCCTGGTGCATGCCATGAGGGGGAGACCCGGAGGGGACGGTGTGACGAAGTGAGACTGTTCTTAATGTTTCCTCTGAATAGTGTGGGGGTGCCTCAGTCTCCCCTATGAAGTTCTTAAGTATCTAGGGGGTGGGATAAGGGTGTATGATCATTGCAGGGCCCTGGAGGGCAGGTGTGTGCAGGGGTCTGGACACAGAGAATGGCCGACACCCTGTTTACTGGCCACTGATGGCCTGGGCCCTTCCCCCCTGCAAGGTGAGAGCTAAAGGGTTGGAGAACAAAGGAATCCGGTGACTTCCTGGCCCGGGAAAGGGACAAAGCCCAGAGGAGGAGGGGCTGGAGAGAGTTTCAGTTTGGGGCTGGCTGGGACATGGAGTGAAGGGCAGACGGGGTTGTCTGGCTCACTGCCCCCCAAAATGGACCCAGCTGAGGGGTCTTGTTCTCTGCACCTGCAAGCTCTGTGTTAGACCATGTTCCCGTCGTCTAATAAACCTTCGGTTTTACGGGCTGGCTGAGAGTCCCGTCTGCCTGCAGAGTTGGGGGGCAGGACCCTCTGGCTTCCCCAGGATCCTGCCTGGGCGGACTGGCTGTGGGAAGTTTCAGAGTAACAGCCGTGTTAGTCTGTATTCGCAAAAAGAAAAGGAGTACTTGTGGCACCTTAGAGACTAACCAATTTATTTGAGCATGAGCTTTCCTGAGCTATGCATCCGATGAAGTGAGCTGTAGCTCACGAAAGCTCATGCTCAGATAAATTGGTTAGTCTCTAAGGTGCCACAAGTACTCCTTTTCTTTTGGCTGTGGGAAGCGCACGGAGGGGCAGAGGAGGCTGAATGCTCCGAGGTCCGACCCAGGAAGGTGGAGTCGGGGGAGCTGTGTGTCCTGCAGACAGGCTGCTCCCAGAGAGGAGACTCCCCAGAGTCCTGCCTGGCTTCATGGGGAGCCGTTCCAGAGCATCACCCGGGGACTCCGTGACAGATGGGCAAGAGGACAGTTGGGGCAGCAGCCCCAGGCCAGGCTGACAGAGTGGGGCAGAAGGGGAGGGCCTGGGGCAGAGGGGGCTCCGTGGGGAGTGGCAGGGGCTGGGGCAGAGTGGTAGGGGGCTCTGTGGGAAGGGGCGGGGAGGGGGCAGAGTGGGAGGGGGCTCTGTGGGGAGGGGCTACATGGGGAGGGGACAGGAGGGGCTGGAGCAGAGGGGGAGGGGCTGTGTGGGGCGGGGCGGGGGCAGAAGACATGCAGAAAGCAAGGGAAGGAAGTGGGGGTGGGAGCCCCCCGTTGCTGTGGCTGGTTTCCCAGCATCCTGCCGGGCGCCTGAGTGGAACATCAAGTGAGGCGAGAGCGTGAGCTGGGCAGGGAGCTGCCATCTGGACTGCAGAGCCAGCCCCAGCCATGTGCTCCCAGGGACAGCCCCCCCAGGAGCCTTGCCTGCCCCCTCCAGGAACTGCCCCCCCCAGGAGCCGTGCCCCCCCCTCCAGGGACAGCCCTCCTCCGGGGGTGGGTGTGAAGCCCCACGGGCAGTGCCCGTTAAAGGATTGTGGGGCTCCATGCACTGTGGGTCATGGGCAGGGTGTCGACCCTCAGGGTGGCTTTAGCCCTGGCTCCCGGGCCGCATCCCAGGCTTGGGGTCCATGGACTCCCCGTCGCTTGGCCCAGCCCAGCCAGGCTCCGGCAGGCAGGGGAAGTGGCAGCGTGGCCAGAATCCCTCCGGGACGAGGGTCCGGGCGTCTCCGTTTCTTGTGCGGGGCCTGGCTGGTCTCCCAGCGCGGCGAGGGGGACCCTGGGGCCAGCCTCAGCCCCCACTCTCAGACCTTCCACACGGGGCCAGCACAGGGCCTGGGGGTCAGGCCCCACAACCGGGGCCCAGTCATGGGATTTGGGGGCTGGGTGTCAGGCCCACAGGCAGGGCCCAGTTTTAGGATTTGGGGGCTGGGTATCAGGCCCACAGGCAGGGCCCAGTTATAGGATTTGGGGGCTGGGTGTTAGGCCCCACAAGCAGAGCCCAGTTATAGGATTTGGGGGCTGGGTGTTAGGCCCCACAAGCAGAGCCCAGTTATAGGATTTGGGGGCTGGCTGTCAGGCCCCATAGGCAGTGCCCAGTTATAGGATTTGGGGGCCCCGTGCACTGGGGTGATGAGCACGGTATAAAAACCTCTATAGAACCAAATGGAACGAGAGGAGTGTATGGTAGTGAGGAATGAGGAGTAACCCAGAGCAATAACCCGAGCATCCCCTGAAATCTGACCTGTCCCAAGGCTACAGAGAGGCCGGAAGGTGCCGGCTAAGTGACAGCCAGCCAGGCCCAGGGACATGGTAGACTGTCAGTAATAATGGAGAAATGCAGACGGGTTCAACAGATATTTCTGTTGTGTATTTGGGAAAAAGCTGGACGATGGAGTCAAGGCAGATGTTGATACACTTCCCATTCCAACAGTAATTGGCGAGGATGTTAAAGAGCAGTCACTAAAATTAAACATTTTAAAATCAGCAGGTCCAGATAACTTACAGCCAGGAGTTTTCAAAGAGCTGGCTGAGGAGATGGCTGAACCATGAATGTTGATTTTCAATAAGGCTTGGAGCCCTGGGGAAGTCCCAAAAGACAAAGACAGATAATGCTGTGCCAACATTTAAAGAGGTAAAGGGGACCATGTCTGAGGTAAGAATGACCTAGGTAATTAAAGGCCTGTCAGCCTGACATCAATCCTGGGCAAGATAATGGAGTGGCTGATACGAGAGGTGTTTAATAAACAAGTAAGGGAGGGCAATATTATTAATGCCAGTCAAAGTCGGTTTATGGAAAATAGATCCTGTCAAACTAACTTCATATCTTGTTTTGATGATATTACAGGTTCGACTGAAAAGGAAACAGGGTTGATGTAATATACTTAGACTTCAGTAAGACGTTTGATGTGGTACCGCATGTCATTTTGATTAAAAACCTAGAACAATACATAATTAAATGGATTAAAAGCTGGTTAACTGACAGGTCTCAAAATGTAATTGTAAACAAGGAATCATCATTGAGCTGGCTTGTTTCTAGCGGGGTCCCCCAGAGATCGGTTCTTGGCCCTGTGCTATTAAACAGTTTTATCAATGAGCTGGCAGAAAACATAAACTCCTCACTGATAAAGTTTGCAAATGACACAAAGATTGGAGGAGTGGGAAATAATGAAGAGGGCAGGTCACTGACAGCAATCTGGGTCACTTGGCAAGATGGGAGCAAGCAAACAATATGCATTTCAATACAGCCAACCGTAAAGTCCTACATCTAGGGACAAAGAATGCAGGACACTTACAGGAGAGAGACTCTGTCCTGGGAAGCAGCGACTCTGGAAAAGACTTGGGGGTTGCGGTAGTCGATAATCACTTGAACATGCAATGCCTTGGCCAAAAGAGTGATTCTGGGATGTGTAAACAGGGGAACCTAAGTAGGAGCAGAGAGGCTCTTTTCCCTCTGTGTCTGGCACTGGTGCAACCGCTGGTGTCCACAGTTCAGGAAGGATGTTGATAAATTGGAGAGGGGTCAGAGAAGAGCCAGGAGAATGATCCCAGCATTGGATAACCTGCCGTGTATTGACAGACGCAGGGAGCTCAGTCTGTTTGGCTAAAGAGAAGGTTCAGGGGTGACTTGATCGCAGTCTGTAAGTACCTACCTGGGGAAGAGAAATATGATAATAGAGGAGGGCTCTTCAGTCGAGCAGACAAAGGTCTGGCAAGATCCAGTGTCTGGAAGTTGAAGTGAGACAAATTCAGACTGGAAAGAAGGTGCAAGATTTTAACCGAGGGTAAGGAACCATTGGAACAGGTTACCGAGGGCTCCGGTGGATTCTCCATCCCTTGCCATGTTTAAATCAAGCCTGGCTGTTTGTCTAAACGCTCTGCTCTGGTAAGTGTTGTGGGGATGTTCTCTGCCAGCAGGTCAGACAGATGATCACAAGGGTCTCATCTGCCCTTAGAATCTGTTAATGTTTGACACACACACGCCCCCTTTCTGCAGCAGCCACTGGCTCCAGCCCTAGGTCTTGGCCCCAGCCCTGGGCCTTTTAATTCATGAATTTGTCTCTGAGGCCAGGGTACTGGCAGAAGCGGGCTGAGCGGGGCAAGTGCAGAAGGCTGGGACGTGACTGTGCAAGAGAAGGGTGGGGAGCAGATGTCCCACCTGCCTGTGCCTCACCCCAGACTCTTCTGGCCTCACTGAGGAAGGTCTGAAGTATGCTCTGGTAGAAGAGACAGGGCGGGGGGGATGGGCTGTCCCATGTCCCAGCTGCAGGCCCCTGGTTGCTGTGGAGTGGTCCTGGGGCCGGCGCTCTCAGGTCAGGTTTTCTAATGGCCCCAGCCTGGCTGTTCCCAGTGCCTGGAATGGGGATCTGTGCAGCACACTAGGAATAG